ACTGGTACAGAGGGGCAACCAATGCTGCCCCAGGCTATGCCTCTATGACTAAGCAGTTCCATTACAAAAATGAGACAATGCAACATGAAACAGTGTAAAGGTTGTTATATGGTACTTTTAAACTTCATATTTTTTATTTAATGCTAGGTTTTTAAAATTAGGTGCATTTAAGTGTATTTGTAAGCAGCATTCAAATCTTTGCATGCTACTACAGACAATGTAAATGGCAATGTGTGTAAGCAGACAGGCAATTTTTTTGCAATACATCTGTGGTAAAAACTTGGCCCCACTGAAGTCAGTGGAAGTTTTGTCACTGACTTCACAGGGGCCAGAATTTCACCCATGGTATTTGCTTATCTCGGCCCTGTCTACCTTGACAGTGTAGTCCAGGGGCGGGCAATTATTTTGGGCAGAGGGCCACTTAGCAAGTTTTGGCAAGCTGTTGAGGGCCACATGGGTAACCCCGCCCCTTGACAGATGCCCCACCCCCTAGGTCACCATCTTGGGACTGGAAGTCCCACCCCTGACCTCTGACCCTTGCCACCAGAAGTCCCTCCCCTTGCCCCTGGAACTACTCCTTTGGAGAAGAGGGTTTTTGCTATCTTAGAACCAGGGAAAAAAAAACATGTACTAAAAATCAAATACCCATATTATATTTTAATTCAATTAAAAATATATATTTTTGTCCTGATACCTGTGTGTTTGTGCTTTAAATGTAGAAGTGATTGCATAATAGATCAAAATGTAATCTTACTCTTGTATAGTGTGTGGGGTGTACAGCAATGTTGGGGGGTATGGGTGGGTGGGTGGATGTGTGTGTGGTATTTGTGGGATGTGTGATTGTGTCTGGAGGAGGGTGTGGCTGGTGTGGCTGTGGGGGTTGCAGGAAGGGTTGCAAGGTGGGAGGAAGCTGGGCACTTGCTGCCCCAAGCCTCATGGCCACATTTGCGCTCTGGCAGCTCCTGCTGCCACCAGGAGACCGAGGGCTGCCAGGGAAGGGCCTGTCAGGTTTGAGGGGCAGTGTGGGAGGCTCCTGGAGCCACTGGGGGTGGCACGAGTCAGTGGAGATGTGGCCCGGGACATGGGAAGCTGAAGGAGGTGATGCTGAACTTGCATTGTGCGCGTGAGGCTTGGGGTAGCAAAGGCTTGGCTGCTCCCCCCATGGGTGGCCAGGGGGTTGCCACCACCCCGGGGGGGGGGTGGCCCAGCCCCCCCACCCCACAGGGGCCTGACAGCAACTTGTCCCCCGGCCCTGGCACAGGCAGGGAGAATGCGCCAGGAGCCACAGCAGAGCCACAGCTGCTTTTCTGCTTTAGAAGCTCCTGCAGCTTCCAGGAGGCCGGGGGCCCCGGGGAAGCTCCTAGGTGGCCCTGGGGGCAGTGCAGGGGGCCCACCTGAGGCTGCTGGGGGTGGCATGTGGCCCAGGAAGTCTAGGGATGCAGCACAGAAGTTGCATCCTGTGCCTGAGGCTTGGGATGGCAACGGCCTGGCTGCCCTCCCCACGGGTGTCCCCAGTGGATGCCCGCCCCACAGGGGCCCAGCGGCCTGGCAGCAGCTTGCCCCCCCCCAGCCCCAGGATGGGCATGAGGCTGTGCCAGGAGCCAGAGTGGAGCCGCAGCTGTTTTTTTCCTCTGAAAGCTCACGTGGCCTCCCCGAGCTTCCCATGCCAGGACCCTGCCAGGTCATGCCACCCCCAGCAGCCTCGAGAAGTGACCCGTGCTGCCCCCGGCGCTGGCCAGGAGCTTCCCCAGGGCCCCATGGCTCCTCGCGGCCGCAGGAACTTCTGGATCTGCTCTTGGTGCATCCACCCCACCTGTGCTGGGGCCAGGGAGTGAGCTGCGGTTGGACCCCTACAGGGCTGGGAGGCCCAGGCCTTCCCCACCAGGGGGGCAGCACCCATTGGAGCCTCCCGTTGGGGGGCGGGAGGGAGCAGCCGGGCCGTTGCTGCACCAAGCCTCAGGCACGGGATGGAAGTTCCACGCTGCCTCCCTGCACCCTGGGACACGTCCTCACCAGGCATGCCGCCCCCAGCAGCCCCAGGTGCCCCCCGTCCTCCAGCTGCCTGGGCTTTATGGAGCCGGGCTGGGCTGCCCCATCAGGGAGAGAGGGGAGCCACCCTGCTCTGGGCCCCGCCAGCACTGGCTCCCATGTACCCCTCGCTCCCAGGCCCCCGCCCCAGCCCTGTGGCCAGGTGAGGACCAGCGTGCCCCCTAACCCCCTCTTACCCAAGGTTTCCCGCTCCAGCACGGGTGGCAACAGTCTCATGGTCCCTCTGGTTGCAGGGGGCGGGACAGGGTGGGCCCTGCTCTTCCAGGGGTCTCCTGTGGCTTCCCCTGGGTCCTACTGCCCCTGGCTCCTGTCACTTTTAACTGAAGCCAGAGGCAAATAAATATGAATTTTAAAAAAATTTCTAGAGGCCACCGCAGGGCAGACAGAATGACCTAGTGGGCCAGATGTGGCCCACGGGCCATATTTTGCCCACCCCGGTGTAGTCCTTTAATAGCCATGTTTTCATAGAATAGTGTTCTTTTTAAAAGTGGCACAAACTGAAAATCTATATGGTGAGTATCAGCAGAAATAATGTCTATGGGTGAAAAAAATGGACATAACTGTAAAACTGACAATGCCTTTACCACAGCAATTTTAAGTAGGTATCATTCAGATTAATTTTATATATAATTTGCTGCGATGAATGTATGAGCATAAAACATTAAAAACAATTAGTGAATAGTTACTCCGTGGGAGACTACATTGAAAACTAGCATTAGTTCCTTATCAAGTACCCAGAACAACTGTCTACAATATGCAAAACACCCACATGTCCTTTACCTAAGGGATATATGAAACTGTCAGCCAAAGGAGACCAAGCACTGTACTTAAAAACAGGTTACTTTGAACATCCAATAAATTTCAAGCTTAGTCCTTCTTAGAGTTTAAAATACAACTCCCTGTAAAACAGTCACCAAAATGATTGAAGTGATATTCCTTTAAATGAAAACACTACATTTAAATATTGTTATATGAAGACATTTTTAAAATTATTAACTTTACCAAGGGCTCATCTTGGATTTTTAGTTAAATTCATGAACTGGATTTAGTGCAGGATGTTTCATTTGATACAGCAAAGCAGACAAGTAACGTAAGACAAAGAAAAATATAATCTAATCATGAGAGCCCAATACTGCAGTGAGACAAGAAACAACTCCCACTGCAGTCCCAGGAGGTATTCATTTGCACTGAGAGCAAAATTTGACCCTATTTTCTTATTCACAAATTGGCATATCATAAAGTGATAAAATTCTAGGGCACTATTTCAGCAGACATTTTATCCAAAACTAATGAGATTTACAGTCCTTTCTGTTTTATGTAGCAATGGCAAAACGTTGAGGATTTCTAAAATTAGAAAAAAATATCAGCACAGTAAATGCAGAAACAGGCAGTCCTGTTTCTACCAGCAATCTCTCTGCTAGTGCTCACTGGTACATTTACCTAACTGCTTTAGCTGCCTATGCTCCCTCATATCCATGTTTTGGAATAAGACTCTCTCCAAGTTCCCCTCGAATTCCAGCAGCAATCCAGGTTGTATTGACATGACCAAACTGCTCAATTCTGAGAGTATGTTTGTTCTTTTATAGCAGGGGTGTCAAACTCACCCAGCCTCAGTTGGGCTGGGGCTGGCATATGCTGCACATGGTGCATGGGGGTTGGAGTTGGTAGGCTGCACACAGGTCTGCAGGCTGGATTGAGACCACAGGCAGTCCACACATGCTGGAGCCATCCCTCAGGTGTGGATGCCATATGCAGCGTGCACACTAAAATCAGTGGCTCCAGCCCCACGCAACACATACATGACACATGGGACCAATTCAGAACACGCACTACACACTGCATGGGGCCAGTCCAGAGTGCGCGGGGCCAGCCCTGTGCACTATTATCCAGCAGGCAGGGCCCACGTTGGGCCCAATCCAGACCAGCCCTGGATCCTGCACGCAGCATACCAACTCGAGCCCCCACATGCTATGTGCAGCACATGCCAGCCCTAGCTGAGAACAACATGCAGGGTCAGTCCAGGCCACATGCTACATGTGGTGTCTGCGCCAGACTGGCCCTGCATGCTAGCTCTAACCCAGGCCTGTGGTCTGTGGGCCTGATCTAAATCAGTCCCAAATCCAGCATGCAGGGCCAGTCCAGCACAGGTGCCACATGAAGTGCACACCCCAGGCGCAGGCAAAACCATGGGCCAGATCCAACCTGCAGGCCATGTCTTTGACACCCCTGTTCTATAGCAAGTCAACTGTTACTGCAATTCATAACTAAAGCCAAATGCCTCTTTAAACCTTATCACATCTATTGGCATCCATAACAAAACAAGAATTCCAGCTTACTAAAATGGAGAAGATTGTATTGCACTGGCATTCTGGCAAAAACACATTTGCTTATAAAATCTCGTAAACAGAGACATCTAAATGAAGAGCCACGGTACGCTCTTCATTATTGGAAATTTCCTTGGTGGGGAGGTAGGGTGATGGAAGGACCATCTTTACCGCAAAGGAACAAACCAGAACAAGAAATGTATAAATCATTCATCTCGTGTGTAAAGTTTCATTATTTTTTCCTGGCATCCTATGTATACGTTTTAAAGTTAAAACAACATGTGAATAAACAGTTTTTTCATTTACTAAAAATCATATGAAAATATAGAATATAATCAAATAAAATGTAGCCCTTTAGGACATTTCTCCAGCAGGGACCATTATCACAATAAATGGTCTTTAATAGATATAATTGCAGGATAATTCCCATGATTGAATATCAAAATGAATTGTCAGATTCATATTCCCAAACAATAGTTTCTCACAATTTACCTAAAAATGTGTGAGAATTCTTTTTCTCACATTCTACTTTAAAAAATAATAATTCTTAAAGCCCACAGACTTTTTAGGCTG